CACATCTGTGTTTGTATGTGCAGCACATAACTTTATAGTTTCATGTGTACCCGCACTGATGTGAAGCTTGAAACCAGTAAATGACTAGGACTGACTGCCTGCATATTACAGCTCTTTCTGAAAAAAAAAATACTTGTACATATCCATATACACAATATATTTGCCAAGGCTTCTTATACTTTTTCCACTCATGACACTTGTAACATGTGACTTTTTTTACATGACCAAATATATGTAGGTATACAAAACAAGTTTGAAAATCAAATATTTACTGGTAATCATAAAAAATATTTACTTATTAAGACAGGGTCTCACTACATAGCCCTGGCCGGCATGGAATTCTGATTGTTGACCAGGTTGTCAACAAACCATGTTGTTGACCATGGAGATCCACCTGCCAGTGCCTTCTGAGTACTAAGATGACAGGAATGCACTACCATTCACAGCCAAGAATTATAAAAACAAAAACATTGTTTGGATGTAACTGAATGTCTTTACAACTACTATATTAATTTATCATCTTTTTGATTATCTGCCATTGTTCTTTTCTGTAGAAGTGCCTTGAGAAGGCCAAAATAAGGTAAACCACATTCAAATAATGTAGAGTGTTTCTATGGATATGACTTTGGTCTAGGAATTAAGTCTTCCTGGGATTTGGTTACCTCAAGCTTAATATAATAAAATATTACTTGTGTTAAAACATACAATTCTTTGTTATACTTAACATTTACCATTTATTAAGGTAAGGGCAAATTTTCATATCTGTGAGGTAGACATTCTTGTTTATTTCTCCATAGAATTAAATCTGGGCTAAATATTTGATACCAAAGGACAGAGGGCATCTACACTGTTTCCAGTGTTGATGGATATTTTAATTTCGTATACATCAATGCTGATAGTACAAATTCATAGCAACAGATAACACAAAATTAAGAACCATGTGTAAGGATATTTGAGGAATTCTTGAAAATTCTGTCCTAATTCATCCTGAAATGTATTTAAAAATCATTATGCAACTCAAATAGGTATTTTTAAATAAAACATTCCAATGCAACTCAAAGGGAATACTAATTTGATTCTTAGATACTAAGTAATGGTGGTAGAAAAATATTTAGGTCTTTGTTTTCTATGTTTAAATCCTTATGTTTTGATAGATGCATAAAACTTTGCATGAACAGTTAACATGATAATTCATAATATGCAATTGTCTTGACTCTGACAGAGATATTTCTGGCAAGCACTTGTCAGTGTTGTATGGCATGACCAGTGAAGTCACATGATTAATACATTGTGTGCTTGTTTTTGAATTAATTGTTGTATGATCAGAAATCATAAACAGGTGTCTGAAATGATGATTTGCTTCCCAATCCTGCAGCCTTCTCACATAAAGGCATCATACTTTGATGATATGCCTCTTCTATTCCCTCTCACTGTCTTGGATATATCGTGGGGCTTAAAAGTTCCATGAATGAACAGAAAAATCAAAAAAGTCCTTAATCTATCTAAGGTCACAGCAAAAGGTGGGTCCAGGATTAGAAAAGATTCCTTTATTTCTTCTACTATTGCCCAGTTCAGGCTTCTTTTTAACCTGGAGACATTTAACTGTAGCATCAGCTATTTGTCCTCTGGCATGGGGCCTTCGGGAAACTCTACATGGTGCTGTAGATATTGAGGGAGAGGCCTTCTTACTAAGCAATTTAATGAGTAAAACTTTTCACCAGTGGAATTCTGGGGAAGCATTTTGTGGATAAGAAGAGAAAAAGATGCTATTTTAAACATTGCTGAGAGAGTTTGGGCAAAATCCATCTGGCAGACAGACTATTTCTTCTGTTCGGAAACTCATCAAGCACTCCAAACGTGCAACCTGTAGGCAAGTTTAATTAAAGCTTGAGAAATCTCAAAATAGCCTGACATTTAAATATGTTATTTCCGTTCCTTCTCATATAGTTTGGCATGCTCACGGAGGTTCTCTGGGGTTCAGATTAAGCTCCCCAGTGACATCCTGCCCTGCCTAACTATTTGATTACTCTGTATTAAAAACCACAGGAGTGTGAATGAAACTACCTTATCCGACCCCTGTACTTCCACTTAGTAGAGAAACAGGAAGGCAGATAGAAACTTGTATGGATGAGTTAGTCAAAGGACGATTGTCAAAGATACTGTGATGGATGATAGCTAGCTATGTAGATAGATCGTATGTACACACATGTATGCATAGAATGCTGCACAGATATGTAAATGGTGAAGTAAATTTTGTTTCTTTTGTCTTTTCTGGAAAAAGCACTCATTGACTAAAGTAAACAAGCATTAACACAGTCACACTAAAGGATTCTAAAAGTGTACATTCTATCTTGGAAGGGTAATTCCATTCTTCATTAGCTTGGAGAACCTTAGCCTTCCTTCTCCAGCCTCCATCTTCAATGTTAGGTGCAGGGAAGTGCCGAAGTTTGCATAGGTCCCTTCCCCTTTCTGTTCTGTTCTGTTGTGTTTCTTGTTTTGTTTTGACAGTGTGTTGTTATGCATTCCAGGATGACCTGATCCTTCTACCTCAGCCTCGCAAATGCTTAGATTATAGGCACAGTAGCCAATCCAGCTTGACTTAAGTAGAGACATTTACATAATTCATTTCTCTCTCCTTTCTTAGCATAATAATTATTCTTAGCAAGGTACAGAGGGATATACCTCTTTCTGTACTCTAATTACAATCCAGGATCCCCAGCTCAGATAATGACTCCACCCACAATCAGCAAGTCTTCTAACCTCTGTTAACATAAGCAAGATTATCCCCTCACTAGACAATGTCTCATAGAGACTCCCTTTCCCAGGTGATTCTAGATCGTCTCAAGTTGACAATTAAAAGAAACCATGGACTAAAGGCAGTAAAAACACAGTATTTGCTGAAGATTCTGTATTTCCTATTGGGAAGAACTTATTGTATTGAAGGAAAGTCAACACTTATGAATTTACCACATGATACCAAGATTAGAATGTATAATTGAATAATTAAATTGCAACTTTGTTTGAGATTTAAAAGGAAAGTCAATGGAGGGTGATCGAGCCTGTAACTGAAGACTTGCTTTTCTGTCTCACAGCCTCCTGGCAAAAGGGGGAGGAAACCGTAGAACTGCTGACGTGGTAGCCCACGGGTTTGCCAATCTTTTAATTCTGGACAAAAAGACTCTCCAAGAAATTCTGCACCATTACCCATCTTGTAAAACACTCCTCATGAAGAAAGCCAGGTATGATGACCTGTAAAGGCCCAACAAAACCTTGTGTGATGGTGCAAACTTAGAATCCCAGCACGTGGACGGCTGAGGCAGGAGGACTGAACTGAGTCCCAAGCCAGATAGAACTAGAGTGAGATACTATATGGAGGGGTGGAGAAACGTGGTTTTACTCTGTAAAATGTAAGATGAGGATAATTGTATTACAGGAAGTAAGTTACAACTTTCTTCATGAAATACACCCCAAACTGAAAGCCAAAGTGGTGGGGAAACTACCACTCTTCAGGGAGAATTTGTATCAGCTGTCACAGAGCTACTCAAAACAGTGTTCTTCTCTTGTCCCCAGAGTTCTTATAAGCCAAAAGAGGAAGATCCCACAGGCCATCCCACCACCAACAGGACCAAACTTTCTTTTCCCACCAAAGGAAGAGACACCCAAAATGTTTAAAGCTCTCCTGGCAAGCACAGGAAAAGCAGACCTTGGAAGTCTCCTCAAAGGCAAGAGAGAACAAACCAATCAGGTAACAAGGCAGGAGTGCTGCATGGCATACATACATACTAGTTCAATTTATGGGCAATTCGGACTAATCTAACCCTAGCAATTGTGCTTTATATTGACATTTATTATTTCAACTTTATCTTCATTAATCATTACATGAAATCAGTGGGTCAGCTTAATTTAATATACATATTTATAAATGCACTCAAATTTAATTGTTCATGAATTCTTTTTGAGTGAATCTACTTACTATAATTTATTGGTAACCCCCAAATCAAGGTATGTTTTTGTGTCTTTCATGCCAAGTAAAATGCTCAAAGGAAAAAATAAAAAGAGGAAATTTGATAGGTGCATTATCAATTCATCTCAAGTTCACTCCTCTTGTTTTTCTTAAAAATTTATTTATTTATTTATTTATTTATTTATTTATTTATGCAGTGTTTTGCCTGCATGTATCTTGTGATAGATGGTTGCGAGTCAACTTGTTGCTGTGAATTAAACTCAGGACATCTAGGAAGAACAGCCAGTCAGTGCCCTTAACCTCTCAGCCATCTCTCTAGCCCTTTAATCCTGTTTCTTATTTTGACTCTTATGCAAATAAGTTGCCCAAAGCAATCTATTTGCTGCCACAGCTTTTTTGTTTTATCTTGTAGTTTTGAATTCTTAATTTAATATTTTGTGACTTTGTTGTACTAAAAATAGTACTTGAATACTGTCCAGACTTCCTAAGCAAAAAAATTCTATGGTATCACTGAGAGAGGAAATATAGTTTTATAATTTTTACTCAGGTTACTGGTTACAGTCAAATTATCTATGAGCTCAGTGTGGGAATGCATAATTCATGGGTTAGTGTGCTATATTAAATAATGTATTTCTGAAGAAAAACATACAACCAATAAAGTTAAATATTGATCAATTGCCAAAACAAAAATAAAACATGTGGCCTAAAACTCATTGGAAACAAAACAGGCCCGGTATTTCCCCTGGGAACAATGGTTATATTTGCTACTTTGGTGATCAAGGTAACTTGATTTAAAAAAACAAACAAACAAACAAACAAAAAAACAGTTCTAAAAACATGGCCACACGAATTAACATGAATCATGGCATTGTAATTACCTGCAAGTTGCTATGACAAAATATCTAACAAAAAGCAGCTCAAAGAAGAAGTAATATTGGCTTACAGTTAAAGGGGTTTCAGTCCAGAACAGTGGGGAAGGCAGGGTGGCAGGAGCTGGAGGCCAGATGGTAACATTATATCCACCATCAGGAAGCAAAGAGTAAGCAGGAGGTGGAGATAAGCTACAAAATTTCAAGGCCCACATCCACAGACTCACTTGTTTCCAATGAGTCTCAACTCTTCCTCCTAAAAGTTTCTACAGCAATCCCAAATGTTGCCATAACATGAGGACCAAATAATTTAAACACATGAATTTATGGAGGGCATTTCACAACACATGGTAACAAATACATACACATGGAAAGGTAAATATATAAATCATGTCAACAATATGTCAGTGAGCAACATTTTCACAAATACTTAATCAACATATAACAAAATCTTAAAAAAAAAGAGAGAAATAGCCTTACATATTTTATCAAAACATCTGGGTCATAAGCAGAGCCAGTCAACAAATTTGGATTAGGTCACAATGAACTACGGTACAAACTGTTAACCAACATTCAGATTTACACTGAGCTACCTGGTAATTCCTAGGAATGTAAAGGCACTGAAACCATGACTCCTTTTTCTCTTTTTGTTGTTTCTGTTTTTCTTTGGTGCTCATAATAAATCTGTGTGAACAGATATTGAGAAATAGAACAGGTGCTCAAGCTTTCTAAAATTAGTTGTTATGTTCTTCTCTCCAACACTTAGAAATGGGTAGCCATGAACCTTTCAGAAAATGAGGAAAACAAATGTTACAAAATCATCACATTTTAAGATCCTAAAACTTGGATATTTGTCTTCTACACATTAACACTATGGTGAATATTAACAGTATTTGTAGCAACCTAAAAGTAACAATTTGTACAAGAAACACATGTGCTAAAGATGTGAGATTTCTACAGATAATACTAATATACAGAACTATTTTTAAAAAAAAACAATAGGTTAAGGCTGGAGAGATGGGCCAGTGGTAAATGTACCTGCAGCCAAGTCTGCCAGCCTGAGTCCAATTCCACATAGTGGAAAAATCAACACCCACAAGCTGGCCTCTAACTTCCATGTGGATCCTGTGGCATATAACTTGCACACACACACACACACACACACACACACACACACACACAATGTAAATTAAGATGAGACTAAGAAGATTAAATAAGAAAAGAAATAAGAGTTTCTCCCCGAGATTCTGGCATTATTGGGAAGGAAACCAGACTTTGTATTGTATAATGTATATATTTTTAGTAAAAGTAAACACTTCAAATACCATCTCTGTAAAATAAACATAGTACACAAACATTTAAACACAGGAAAATGGCGGTGAGAAACAAGACAGACATGATCCCTATATTCACTCCATTCAGATGTTTGTTTGATAGTGACTCCAATATTTCAATTACCCATTTCCACACTAGTTCTTTATCATGGCTTCTTCCAGAAAAATGGTGGAAGTTCCAAAGGAAAAGGGAGAAAAGGAAATGAATATGAAGATAAAAGAACAAGGCCATCAGAAAAAACATTGGACAGGCTCAACTGCAGAGTAAGTACTATTACAGCAGAGGAAATGCCCCATTCAATGTTGACTTAAAAGGCAGTTTTACTTAGAGGACCAGCCTATCAATCACTCATCATCAGTATGGCTCCTGCCCATGAGACTGGGGAAGAGGTTCTGACTATTGAAGTCAAAGACAAGGCTAAGCAATAAGTGTTTGATTATCTTTAGATGTAATCGCACTCATTCCCAAAGAGATGGTAACCAGGATTGTAGCTTAAATTAATGAGGGAAACTAAACTCACTGGGGCCCTCGGAAACTTCAGGCAAATCCTCAGCTTCATTTCCAGGACTTAACTGAAAATGGTTTTATTCTCCACCATCCCTAGTGTCCACTGTTATCAGCTTCAAGTAATTGCCATTTCTTTTAAATGTCTAATGTAGATATTTTTCCCTTCTTTCCTGATGATGTTTCCTTGTTTCACTTTGATAAACTTGATTTTAATCTTACTGTGATTTAGCATCCTTCGGCCTATACTTTTGTGCTATGTAACTTCTGGCACAACACTGTTAATACTGGCTAAATGTCCAAGGTAGACTCATTTTACCTCTTATGTATAGTAAAAGAATGTGATTTTTTTTTAAATAAAATAGGCCATAAATCAAGTGGTTTCTATTTCAGCAAGGATGGTGAGTCACTAAATCCAGCAGCTGACACCAAAATGGGCTGATGTCTTGGAACCTTTGGAATGAGAACTTTGATTTTCACCCAAGGCCAATATCTGTCAGCAAGATTACCAAACCTATAGAGACAAAAGACCAAATCGAAAGCTAAGTTTCTTCTCTTTAGCAACCAGACCACAGCTACTTAAAGCCCCACCCAGTGACATACAATGTCTTGACTTTTTTTATTTAAATTCTTTAATTACCACTCCTATTTACATATCCATCAGCCCCATTTCCTCCCCTTCCCATCCTCCCATGTTCCCCACCAACCCTCCCAACCCATCGCCCAACTCCTCCCCAGGGACAGTGAGGACCTCTACCAGGGACTTTCAAAGTCTGTCACATTGTTTGGGGGAAGGCCCAGGCCCTCCTTGCTGTATCTGGGTTGCAACAGTATCCCTCCATAGGGAATGGGCTCCCAAAGTCCATTTGTGCTCTAGAGTTAAAGACTGGATTCACTGTTAGAGGACCCATAGACTGTCTTGGCCTTCTAGCTGGTACTCACATTCAGAGGGCTTTGTTCAGTCCAATACTGTTTCCGAAGCTTTTTGACTAGGGTCTCCATGCTCTCACTAGGTCAGGTCCACTGTTTCTGCAGGTTTCTCCAGCACCTTCTTGGCTTCTTTGCTTGTCCCTCCTCCCTCTCCACAACTGGATTCCAGTAGTATGGGTGCCTGTTTCTGCTTCGAATAGCTACTGGATGAAGGCTGTGGGAATGGTAACCAAGGTAGACATCAATCTCATTAGAGGGGAACGGCATCAATGGCATTTTCTCCACTACTGCTTGGATTCTAAGTTAGGGTCATCCCTGTGGGTCCCCTAACATTTCCACTGTGCCAGACCTCTCTCCATACCTGTACTGTCTCCCTCTATCAAAGCATCTCCTTTCTTGCCCTCCTCTATTCCTCCCCTGTCTCAGTTCTCCTCCCCCCTCCCCTTCTTTCCTTTCCACCTCCTTCCTCTCCACCCATGCCCATGTTCCCACTTTGTTCAGGGGTTCTTGTCCCCCTCCCCTTCTTTGAGGGACTATGCAATCTTCTCTTGGGGTCCTCCTTGTTTCCTAACTCCTCTGACAGTGTGGAGTGTAGACTGGTAATTCTTTGCTCTATATCTAAAAATCACATATGAGTGAGTACATACCATGTTTAGCTTTTTGTGACTGTGTTACCTCACTCAGGATGGTTTCTTCTAGTTCCAT